GTCAAGGTGAGGTCCTGCCATAAGAACAAGATCAATGCCAGTGAGTCACTGAGATTCTTGAGGTTGTTGTAATTGAATAAGCTCTGCATTACCGTGACCAGTTGGTTCAGGGAACTATCTCAGCATTCTGTGCCTTGGTTTTCAGCTTCGTGCAAAAGAGAAGAGCTGACTGCCCAGGAGGACGCTGTGCAATAATGTAACCGGCCGTAAGGATGTTTTCTATAAAAGAGCTTCGGTTTTCCTCACGGCGACTCCTGAGAAGCAACCTTCACTTCTGTAAATGGCTTCACGGGGGACGACGTCATTGAACTTCCCGAGTCCTCTGTTTTCTCATTTTTAAAATGAACTTGTTAGAATACCTACGTCCTCGGTTTGTTGGGAGGACTAACTAAGTCAGCACATGCAAAACGCAGTAACACGGTGGCCCACACAGATCTCACTGAGTTAGCATCTCACGGAGACCTTGCTGTTGGCCAGGCACAGCGTTGGCGTTCTTATGCTGACATAGGTTTGGGGGTCATTTTCCTTTGACAGGAACAAGAAACTGCGGGCATGGTCTCGAAAAGAGAGAGAGCAGCTCCTACCTGGTCCCGTTTGGCAGATGTGAACCCCGAGTCCAAGGGCTGCCATGTGGTCCAGGTTTCTCTAGATAGGAAGTCAGGAAGCAGAGGCTCTAGAACTGGCTCAGCCTAAGGGGCCACGTTGCCTCGGGAATCTTGTTACTGATCCCTAAGTCTCAGGTCGCTATTCTTTTTTTAAAAAATGTTTTTTGAAGGTTTATTTATTTATTTTTAGAGAGGGGAAGGGAAGGAGAAAGAGAGGGAGAGAAACACCGACAAGTGGTTGCCTCTCACACGCCCCCTACTGGGGACCTGGCCTGCAATCCAGGCACCTGCCCTGACTGGGAATTGAACTGGTGACTCTTTGGTTTGCAGCAGGCCAGCACTCAATCTGCTGCGCTACACCAGCCAAGGTTTTTCCTTCCTTCCTTCCTTCCTTCCTTCCTTCCTTCCTTCCTTCCTTCCTTCCTTCCTTCCTTCCTTCCTTCCTTCCTTCTTTTTTAAGAGAGTTGAATTAAATGAATGTTCTGCTTTCCTTTATTTGTGTATAACTTTGCACCATGCGAGGAAATCTGTTGCAGAGCCGCAGAACTAAACTAGGCGTCTGAGTCCAGGACCCTCGTCCACTGTGTATGCAGCAGGCCTTGGACAGCGCTTAGGAAGCTAAGATTTGACTTCACAGAGGGGCACCTCTCTCCTGCCCATTGTTCAAAGTTGTTTTTGGCTCAGGCTCCACATTTCCCAGGCACGAGCCTAGGGGCAAGTTGTGCGTCTACAATGGGTCACTTCTCAGGAAGAGAGAAAAAAATCATCAGAGCAGCTGCCCCCGCATGTTTGGGATGGAACAGCTGCTGAAGTCGGATGTCTAAAGATTTAGTTTATTTATTCCCACTGAGGTTTTTATTATTTAGATTACTCCAAAGGCTTTGAGAAAAACTCAAAAAATGCAAACTCAAAAATGCCTAGGAGCCTCCAAACCCGCAGCAGAGTTACACAACTCTTCCTGCACTGGGGACATAATCTCTTGATGAGGTCAGCCACACCCTTCCAAGGTCAAAAGTGTTGTATACTCATGCACAACTTTTGAGAACCACTTTGTCCACATGTGCAACTCAGACGTTCCAGAAAGTGATCTCCAGTGTAACGTGACTTCACTTGGAAGTAGTGAGAAAATCGGGAAAGATACCGAGACAGCAACGCAGCCAGAGTCCAGGTCCGTTTTCAGTGTCCCCTGGCCCACAGAATCTGTCTCATTTCCTGATAATAAAAAGTATGGATTTCTATTCACTGAGTGTCCGGCCACTCTTCCGCGTGCTTTGTCCGTAGAGGTATGTATTAACCGATTTAACCCACACAACAACCCTGTAAGGTGGACATGATCATTTTTCCTGTCTTAACTCAGCAGAGAGTGGTTAGTGAGTTAGTGAGTTGTCCGTGGTGTCACGCTAGCTGGTGGCAAAGCCATCATTCACACTCAGGACCCTCCCGACGGAGTCCATACCAGACCACCTTGCCTGGGGACGCACAGGGAAGAATGCAGAAGAGCTGGAACTTCTGACTTCTAGTTGGTCCCTGTTTAGGTAACTGTAGACCAGTGATTTTAGATGGGAGCTTAGAGACCATCAAGGCCAGCAAGAAGGTCTTAAGCCTTTGCTCATAGTGGCCCTGAGCGAACAGATGAGACCAACACCTTGGCTTACCCCCCTGCCCCGAGGCAAGGCTCCGAGTCTCTCTCAGCTCAGCTCACCTCACCTCGCCTCACCTGTGCAGCCCCCATCAATCCATTTATACACAACCCTGCAGAACAAGCCGGGAGGGGACCTTGGTGCCAGCATTGAACTCCCCACAGCCAGCCCCTTAAAGACTTCACCTGAGGACCTCATTAAAAGCCCCATGAATTTAAGGCTGCCTCTCCCCGCACCTTCTCTACCAGGGGGTCTAGTGTGGTGTGTGGAGGACACGTGTGTTCTTTATTCTTCTTGTTCCCTGTTCCTCTTTGCTATTTTTAGCCACTGAGCACCTGGTCTGCCGCCTGTGCTCAGGGCGGGAGGGGGAACGAAATCGCTGGCTTTGCTTGAATCCTTGGGGTGTGAGGGTATTGGGGTCCCCACTCTGCTTCAAACAGACCCACTGCATTACGGTGTACTCCATCAGCAGGCTTTTGCTATTGATTCCACGCAGGAAAAAAAGTCTTTAGGGGCTAAAGAAGTAGTTTGGAAGTGCACAGAAACCTGCACACTGCTTTCCGTGGCGGGGCACCAACTTTCATTCCCACCGGCTCTGCCCCACGGCGCTGCGCTGGTCTCGACAGTGGCCATCCTAACAGGTGTGAAGTGACTGATCTCACTGTGTTTTAATTCGCATTTCTGCGGAGATGCTTGTCAAATGGTACAAGCCTGCTCAAAAAGAGTCATTTTACTCTTTATTTTATTAAAAAGTGTTTTTAAAATTTACTGACTTTGGAGAGAGAGAGAGGAAGGGGGACAGGGAAATAGGGAGACATTGACTTGCCGTTCCAGTCATTTATGTGCTCATTGGCGAGTCTCGTTTGTGCCATGACCGGGATCAAACCCGCAACCTTGATGTCGGCGTAGCGCCCCCTGGCGCCGTGAGTGTGAGAAAGAGGTCGCGGGAGGAGCCGCCGGTGAAGAAGCCAAATTGCCCCGGTAACCAAGCAGGCCGCGGAGCCTGGCGACAGATTCCCCCTCCCGGGCAAGATGCAGTGGGTGGGGGTGGGGAGGCCCTGCACGGAGCATGCGTGAGGCTGGTGAGAGCAATCGGCGAAAGGAGTAATCGACTAATTGCCTTCCTTCCCCACTTCTGGTCCATGGTTGAGGGCAGGGGCAGAGGACGCAGCTTCAGGGTGTACATGGCAAAAGCAGGGAGGTGCTGTGCTGGGAAAAAAACCTGCCAGACTAGTCTGGGGAAAGGACGGCACTGGCCGTGGGGGCCAGACCCGCCCAAGGAGGAAGTTTGCCCCGGGAACGTAAACCAAGGGGAGGGAGAACCGCGCATTCTTCTGCGGGTCTAGGTTTGAGGGAGGGCTGCCCGTGGCCCCGAGAGAGGCCGAGCTGCTTGGAGGACGGCTCAGCGGGCGCCTGCAGTTCCCAGGGGATGAGTATTTTCCAGAGGGTGGTATTTCAAGTTGGAGAAGGACCTCTGGCTGCAGCCTTGGGTGGACCTGGCAGAGGGTGGGGGGGTGCCTTTTCTGGGAAAGATGGGCTTTGAGGCAGGAGCCTGCTGTCTGTCCAGATGTTCAAGTTTGCATAGAAGACCTTTAACTTTTCTCACCAAAAGTCTCCTCCAGAATTTTCCTACGGATGGCGGCAGGCAGCCAAACCCTGCTTTTGTTTAGTAACGACCTTGGTGTTATCAAGACAATGTTTGAACCAACTGAGATACCCAGCCTGGGCTTAAAAAAAAAAAAGTATTTCTTGAGTATTATAATAAGTACAGGCAATAAGTAGTGAACATGGAGTGACTGTCCTCTAATAGTCTTGAGTGCCTGTGGCTCATTTGCTTGGAAGATGCTGCTTAAGATGACTAAGTGCTTAAAATCAAATGTACTGCTTGGTGACTATACTACATATCTGAATTTTGCTAAGAGACTAGGTCTTACGTGCTCTCCCGACACCAAAAAAGGGGGCGTGGCAACTATGTGAGGGGAGGGAGGTGATGGACACGTCCGTTAACTTGTTTGCAATAATCATTTCACAATGCATATGTATATCAACCCACAGCATTGTACACCTTAACTGTAGCCCACCTTTATTCACCCATTACTCCTCATTAAAGCTGGGGGCAAATGAACAGAAAGTCAAGGTCAATAAAGAGCTACCCAGTTCTGATGTCCTTTGACATGGACATCCCAGGGCACTAAGATTCTACCACTCGATTGAATCATGGGGGTGAGGTTCTCATGCACTACCATTCTTGGGTTCAGAGAGCTGGCAGTGTTCGGAGCTGTTGGGGTCTCTCTGCCTCTGGGTTGGAGCCTCGCAGAAGTTTGAGGGCCCCTCCTGGACCTGCCACGTCCTGCAGACCCCCATGTGAACACAGGGGCCAGGGAAGGCTCTTACATCTCCCCATCTCTTCCCGCCCTTGGTTCCCTCCTTTCCTTCCCCTCTACAGATGATTCATGCCAGGGAGAGCTTTCAAGAACAACCCTCACAGATTACTACCCTTGCTCAGGCCCCCTTTCGTCCCGATTTTGAGCCCCAAGACAGGGTGGTAACGTGCCAAGTGCCTTGCCCTTACTCTGCCCGTCCTAAGTAAGCACTGTCAATTTGCCGGGGTGTGGAAGTTATCAGTTTAGGACCTCCCCCAGTGACTTGACGATGACCTGGCAAAGGCAGAGGTTTCCCTGGAAGCTCCCACTCCCTCTGCCGTCTTTAAAAGGCAGCCAGAGCAGTCGGAGGAGCCCAGAGGCTGAGGCCAGCACCGACAGCAGCAACTCCCTCGCTGAAGCTCTCTCCCCACCCTCCAGCATGAAGGTCTCCGCAGCCCTTCTGTGTCTGCTGCTGGCAGTGGCCGCCCTCGGCAGCCAGGTGCTCGGTCACCGAGGTAAGCCCCCTCTCTCCCTGCGGGAGAGCTGATCATCTCCAAAACTGTCCCACCCCGCCCCGTGCGTGAACAAGAAGTTCCCAACCTCACAGTCAGTGGGAGACCTAGAACTAGAACCCCAGGCTGGTCCCCACCTTCTCCCTGACATGGGTGTTGAGAGAGATGGAGAGCATATCTGCGACCTGGCTGCCGCTGCACCCCACTGTTTGCGGTGTCTGAAGCTGGGGCACACAACAGAAAGACCCCCCCTGAGTGTGGGCACCGTGAGCATTTGGGGCAGGGCTGCAGGGGGAAAAGGGCTTGGTGGGAGGCCCAGAATTTTTACTGGACGCTGAGCCAGCGTTCAGAAATGGTGGCTAGAGGTAGGAAATGAGGTGCCACGGAATCCCTCGAGTTGATCTTTTGAGTCTGTTAGGAAAAAAAAAAATCTGGGTGTTTCTATCACAACGCATTTTTTTCACCCTCTGATGCCTTAGATGTACTGCTTGTGAGCCGCACAAATAGGTCGTGCGTGCTCTGGTAACGAGTCACCCTGGGTGGCCGGGGACCTGCATTCCCCACTCACACTTAAGATCTGTAACGTTTTGGCTACACCTCCTGCTCACATACTCAGGATACTAGAGCCGCCCTAGAGAGACTTGCTGTGAACGGCGACAAAGGGAAAGAGAGCTCCTCCCACTGCGAAGGGCTCGCGCTGGCTCACAAGTGCTGCTGGTCACTTCGGCTTCTCGCATCTGGGGCAAAACTAGCTCATGGTCCCAACCAAACAAAAGTGGCCAAGAAATGCCAGTCTGCCCGGTGTCCAGGAAGCAGAGAAAGAAGGACATTTGGTGAATAGTACTGTGACTGTCGCTTAGCTACGTGGATCTTAATAACACAGGCAGAGCTTAGCAAACTGACCCTGATTTTTCTATCCTTTTGTCAGTGGTAATGGGTCCCCACTGTTCAGCTGGGGACCCCAAATCAAGGGCAGAAGCACAGGGTCTCAGAGCAGATGAATTCTGCCTCCTTCTTTTATATTTTTGTGCCTTCTCCGAAAGTTCCTCCTTTTCTTACAACAGCATGCTTAAAATATCTACATATTATTTGTGGCTCATCCTTTCTTTCATTCCCCCCTCAGCCCCCAGTTCAGTTATTGGCCCAACCGTTTGCTGCATCAACATGGCCAACAAGAGCATCTCTGTTAAGAGACTGAAGAGCTACAGGAGACTCACCAGCAGCAGATGTCCCCTGGAAGCTGTGATGTAAGGAGACAGATCCCCCCTCCCCCAGCCCCAAACTTCATTCTCAGGGGGCCGAGACCAAGAATTGTGCCAGAGAGTTGCATGCACTCAGGGGCTCCGAGAGTTTGACCTCCACCATCCAGTTGACGCATTTTCACCGCAGGACATTTTCAGTCTTAGCTCTCTGTCTGCAAGCTTGTCCGGGCCAGGCCAGTGCCTTCGAGCCAAGAGCAAGGACGGCTTGCCTGGGCCATCGAGAGCAGCAGCTAGTCCCAGAGTCCCATCCCGCCTCTGTCCCCTCCTTCCCCCGCATAGCGACCTCTTCACCCCATGGCAGGTGGTCCTGGAAATCTGGGGGTTAAACAGACGTGATTTGCAAAGGCTTCTAACTGATTCCCACCTCTCCCGCAGCTTCAGGACCAAACAGGCCAAGGACGTCTGTGCCAACCCCAAGGACAAGTGGGTCCAGAGGGCCATGAAGTACCTGGACCAGAAGTCCCAAACCCCCAAGCCATAAACGCTCACCTTTCTCATACCGAGCCAGACCTTGAGAAATGCTTGATTCATTTCCTCTAGTCTTTGTAAGATGCATTCTGTGACAATCTCATCATCCTTCCAAAAGGAACACTTTTGTCTAATAATAAACACTATTGCATTTAAGTTATTGATGTATTTAAACTCTTCTGCCATGGATACCACTTTTTTTTTTTTTTTTTTTTTTTTTTTTAATGTACAGATTTGGTCAGGTCCCTTCCCTTCTGTGAATCTCAGTTTAATCCTGGGAAAGTCATATTACTTCGTTTCTTTGAAGTGATGTCACTACTCTCCTCACCTCCCGGGACTCTGGGAAGGGGTCCTGGCAAAGATATGAAAGTGTTTTGTATTTTTAAGAAGACATTGCTCTGATGAACCAGCGGTGTGACTCGGACTGTTACATGGAAATAAACACCTAAAATATACGTTGTATCACTGTGGCAGCTGTGTTTTTGTGGGGAATGCACAGGGGAGCCAGGAGGCAGGAAGGTGGAAGCAGGGGTGAAGGTATAGTTCTGGGGCCGTGGGAACCGTGTTTCTGAGACCCGCCCTTCGGGTTTGGCTGGCCTTCCACCCGACTCGGTAAAAGTGACCCGAAGACATGTCTTTTCTCTTCCTCTGATTCTGGTCCCCAAGATTGGGCTCCCGGCCCTCAAGTTCTTCGGTTTCCCAGCTCTCAAATTATTCAGCGGGATTCTCACCCCCGTTTTTCTCCTGCCCAGCCTCACACTTGCCCAGAGCCTCTCTCCCAGGACGCACTGCGGCAGCCCAGGTGCCATTCTGCCGGTGCCCGACCTTCCTCCTCCAACTGTCCCCAGCCCAAATACACAGACCAATCAGAGGAGGGCCAGATGACCCTTAACAAGAGGCACATAAAGAGGCATAAGCCTGGAACTTCAGTGAGGTCTTGATAGAGGGACACAGGCACCAGCCCTTTAGAGAGATCTCTGGTGGACAGGAACGAGGTCTCTGGTGGACAGGAATGAGGCATGGCTGGAGAGGATGCCCAGAAGTAGAGATGATCACAGTATGTTTTTCAGGTTGGGTGGCAGCCCTTTGGGTAGGTGACAGGGTCTGAATAAAATGGGAGGGTTGGGGGGAGATTTGGGAACGGAAATTGAGACCAGTCTGGGAAGGGGGGGCGGTTTGTGCTCCATTCAGAGAGTAATAAGTAACATGACCATGTCCTTTGTAACACCTAAGTGAGGACTTTGGAGAGTAAGAGGAGGCACCATCAATAATTATGCTGAGACAACAGATACAAATTAACAGTGTCCCAGGCGAACTAGAGCACGAGTGCTAACAGGCATTGGACAATTTGATTCGGTGGGGCAGGGCCGCGCCATGGCCGGAGGTGGAGGCGCTGCAAGAACAGTAACCATGTGGCCAAGGGCGGGTGGGAGGGGGAGGGAAGAGCAGTCAGTGCTGTGGCAATGTGGGGGCAAGAGGTGAGGGAGAAGGGGAGCCCCGCAGGGGTGCATGGGGAGGGGAGGAGGCAAGCGCAAGAAGAACGGGACTGGGCGAAGTGCAATGCTGAATGATGTGGGGGGCGAAGCAGGACTGGTAACATAGAAACCTTCACAACAGCGCAAAGCTGCAGTTAAGCAAATGCACTTCCTTTCATCGCCCTTCCCCTGACGCCCTAGCCTCGAAAGCTCAGGAGCTTCCAACCGAATGGACGAGGCCTCCGCTTTCTGTACAAGCAACTCAAATCAGGACTCCTCTGCGGCACACGAAATCCGCCTGCACTTCTGTCGGCCGTGTGACCCCCTCTGTCCCCAAGGGTAGAAAAGACCACACGTGCGCTGCTGGCGTAACTCCACGTGGTCACAGGCTGCTGGTGTAGAGGATCGACTGCCCACTGCATCATGCTCTGCACGGCAGGGTCACTGCACTGTGGGGCTCCGGGGACGCCATTCGCACTCAGGTCCCACGGGTCTCCTACATGTGGCGGTGAGGCTCTAGAAATAGTACTGACCTGGGGGACAGGTGACTTCCATGGCCCCTAAATCAAGTCTCTCTCACTCTGTTCCTTTGGGCCTTGAGGATCCCACCCATAATAGGAGGACAACAAGGTTTCATTAATTTTAGAGGAATCTAACAGGTGACCCCGCAAGGTCCCCTGCACCAAGACAGGTGCAGGCATCCTACGTCAGACAGGTGCCAAGGTAACTGCACACCTACTATATCTCAGACGGGGCCTTTCAAGAAGCTTCTCTGCGAGAGCCTCAGGCAGAAGCCGGGACCCCAGGAGGCATCAGAGACCTTGCAGCAGCTACCACGGAATGGCCCCCACTCCAAGCAATCGCTGGACCCCACTCCAGGTTCAACAAGCTTGCCTGTCTCTCCTGCAGCTCATTGGACTTCAGCCCTGGTTACGCAACAGCTGAGGTCCCAGAAAACCTCCGCCTGTTGCTTGTCAATTGCGAAGAACTAGCCTGGAGGACTGGCTGTGAAAGACTGGGGCTCATCAGGACTTACATGTACACCAGTGGCAGCCCAGGCTTTCCCGGCACAAGGTCACACGGGGCACAGAAAGCAAATTGAGCCGGGCAGGAGCGGAGGAGCGGGGTGGAAACGTGTTCGTGCGCCAGCTGTGTGAGATGGAAAAGCGCTCCCGAGCTGTTTCTCCGCAGTTTTTTACAGCCCAGCTCATATCCGAGTGCAGTTCTTTTGGCCAATTCTTGACTGAGGAGCTGGCAAGGCTCCCAAGATCTGTTCTACAGTCCACTTGCAGATGGGCGTCAACATACTCCCAACAGGGTGGGAAGGGGACTTGGAGCTTGAGAAGGAGCCCACGTTCTTACATACCAGACTCTCTACACCAGCGCGGGTAACTTCATTGTCTGCTCCCATACCGTCCGCCCTTACATCTTCTGCATGTGTCCTGGGGAGCAAGGAGGACGGGTGAGACCTTGTATCCATACTCTACCCGATAATGTAACATACAGCCAAGGAATCACAGGCTTGTGCACATTAATTTTAGAGACTATCAAGTTGATCGCCAGCCCCGAGACAACTTCCCAAACCATGCTGAGATAGGATCGTTCTATTAGGTTGTTAGGCTCCTGGGTTCTTTTGACCAAGCCCGACCAGCCGGAGCAGAGAGGGCCACCTCTGAACACCCCCGTCAGTCTGAGATGCTGCACCGTGAGCCGCTTCAGACGCCCATCTTGCAAAGCTCTCATCCTGCACCGAACGAAGGAGAACAGGCCAGTGTTTAGTGCCCACCAGCGGAGGCATGTGAGCAGCAGTGAACAGTAAGCATGCAGGCCACTGCTCTGTCCTGTGCAAGGACAGTGGCTTGTTTGGGTGGTCTCCCCGGCCTTCTGTACCATACCTTCTGTCCGGCGACATACCCCAGGCCTAGGATGCTGGCCGTGGGAGGAGAACAAATGGTCCAGAGGAGAATGATTAGGGCGCCGACCCCGGGTAGGTTTCCCAGGGTCATTTGCTTGAACAGCCACTGGCCACTTCCCAGTTGTGGTAGGTTGTACAAGCCGGCCCTGGGCGAGACCCTCCCCCACGAAGCTCAGACCGCACGCAGTGGGTGTTTGTTTCCCAGGGCCAGCTCGGTGCACTAGCTCCAGGGTAGATATCCGGGGTGCCGGCCTCACCAGGTTACTCTCGGTCCCCAAGACGGCGTTATCTTAGTCCCCCTTGTTCGCACCTGCACTCTCAGTAGTGACAACGCACACACCTGCAGCAGCCCCCGGGCCTCCGGAAGGAGGATTCGGGGTGCTTAAACACACTCATTTTCACAATTTTCCTTTTGTTTTGCCAGACGCGACTTCCATGTCACTGGTTCCAGGACAGAAATTACTCCTGCTGGTGTTTTCAGGGCATCCCCAACCTCACTCGTGGTCCCCCACTATCAGTTAGGGTTGCCCCCTCAGATGTCCACCCCCGCCCCCTCCAGGGACATCCTTTTTTAAACCGGGTTTCCCTAACCACGTTAGCATGTCCTCCCATCTCATGGTCACCAGATGTCCGCCCCGTTGGAATTTCTCTGGAATCCTGCCCACACACCCATTGTTATGCTAAGAGCTGGGCCTGAGCAAACCTCAGTGTATTGCTTGCTGATTCCAAAGAAATGACCCGGCGACTGACCCGGCGACTTGGCTGAAAAGCATGGGTTTATTAGGACTTGTGTGCCCTGGTGGTGGCCGGCCAGTGACATTGTCCACAACTCAGGCTTTCCTAGCACAGGGTTACATGGAGCATAGAAAGCAGAACAAAATGGGCAGAGGGGGGAGGGGAATGGGCTCGCACACACTGTGTGAGGTGGGAAAACACCATCCCTTTCTCTGCAGCTGTTCACAGTCTGGGCTCAGATGTGGAAGCAGTTTCTGTTTGGTGGTTTCTTAACCAAGGAGCCGGCCAGGCTCCCAAGGTCTGTCTCTGCTTACAGGAGGCCTCCGTCAAATTCCCACAGGCTGGGCAGGGGAGCTGCCGGTCCAGAAAGGGCCCATGTTCCCACATACCGTACACAAGCTCTCTCTTCTCCTTCTGGGGACCCCTAACCCAGTTCACCTCCAACCGGGCATGGCATCTCCTGGCCCTGGAATCTAAAACTGTGGGCACAGAGCAGTGAAGACATTTAAGCCTCTGACAGTGTTATCAGTGGGAAACAAGTTCTTGCAGTGCACAGAGAAAAGGAATTTCCCTAGACCTACACGAGAGGAGGGGGCTGTGTGGTACAGTTTATCGACGATGTAGAATGAGGGGGGTTCCCCTCCTGACTTCCCAGTGTCCCACCTCCATCCACCTCGCCATGGAAAAAGTCCAATTGTGTCCTCAGCAAGGCCAACGCAAAAGTCAGTGCGAGTGTCCAGAGTTTCTGCCTCATGATAATGCTTTTTCTTTGGAGCCCGTAGAAGACTGCTAAGCAATCGCAGTTTCCATGCTTAGCTTGCTCCTGGCTGCTCTGGTGGCAGGGGCCACGTGGCTGCTCACCATGCAGCCGCTAAGGACACATGGCCATGGAGAGAGAATTTGGGAGTACACGTGCAAAGTGCAGGCCTCCAGCCAGAGAGAGAGAGAGAGAGAGAGAACTTCCCTGCTCTTCTGGGATCCTGTTGCTGGGGCCTGGGATGGACCACGTGCCTTTTCAAAATGACCAAACAATTTCCCAAGCTTTCGCC